TACCATGTAGAAAAATAAAATGCGGAAATAAAATAAGACAAATAGAAAAGAACGAAATTACTTTTATTGCTACATCTCTTCTTCTTCTTGTTCCATTACAATGAAAATAACTCACATATTTATTGGAAAATTAACAAATGAAATAAAAGGAAATATAGATATAACGGAAATAAATATGATTCACAATATTTAACATAATATTGTGTTCCTCCAAAATCTAGATTTTCCTCCAATCACATATTCATTTTCCTACTTCAACATTTTCCCCAAAATTGAACAATACAACATATTTTCCGCATGACGAATTAGAGAATGAAACTCATTTATATCGAATCGGATCTCATGTATTGGAAAACACATGTAAAATTTTCTTATAAATAAACAATACGACATATTATAATTTGCATAACTGCAACAACTTTTATTTAGTAGTGTGTTAATTTGGTGGTACCAAACGACTGCATAGTTAGAGCGTGCGAAATAATTACATATTTAATTTGAGGAAGAAAGGATGCGACACTTTACTAATTAAGGAAAGCTAGTAGAAGCTGTTATAACAATAAGAGGATTATATTGTTTAAGTGAAAACTAAACGAGAAAGCCTCCAAGATATTACATACGAAAATAAATTTACATGAAAAAAACTACGCAATAACCGAAATTCACCATATATAATTAATTGACATTTTTTAATTTGAAATTTTTAAAAAATATTCTTCCAAGTTTTATGTCAGAGTTTATTTGATTCAAAATTTGAAATTTAATTCGTTTTGAATTATTTTTTATTAAGTGCTATTTTAGGGGATATATAAACCCTAATTCTCATTGTATATGAAATTTATCTAAATATTCGACCGTGTGATACCTAAACTGAAAAAAAAAATGTAAATGATTAGTGATGAAATGTCAAAGGTGATATATATGATTACCCCCCACGATTATGTCGAGATAGAATGACACCTGTCCTATCAACTTTTATCTTTAAAAAAAATCACATGATTATCGTTGTGAATTTTGTTTTATTTCTCAAAAAATTAATCAAAATTTTTATTTCTTTTTTTTTTTGGTTGGGAAATGGATTGGGGATGCCACGTCACCCACTTCCACCGAATCAATGGAACCTAAGGAAGTCAATATAAAACGACATTTGCAGCATGAAAGTCACGACCATACGAAAAGGCCGCAATATTGTTTCTTTTGGTTAAAACAAGTTTTAACGCAATATTAAAATCTATTCTTTAACAAAAAATAAAATAAAATCTACGATTAATCATTAACAATTTGTACTATATATAAATTAGTTGTTAGATCATAGTCATTATAACATTATATTATAAAATTGAGAAAGGAAAAAAAACTCTTCGTAGATTATGAATAGGAACTCGAAAGCACTACTCACAAGAAAAATGTGTGTGTGTATATATATATATATATAATATGCATGGTACAAAATTCAAGTGTGACTTACGATATAAAATAGTCGTGTGTTAACTGTTTCTGTATATGCATACGGCATGCCTATATTTGGGTTCGATGTCCGTATTGCATTGAAAAAATATTTAAAATGTAAAAAAGAATATTTTATTGACATGTTGAAATCTAATTTAAAAATGGAGCTACTGAATATAAAAAGTGTAATAATCCATGAATGAAAGTATAATAATATTTTAAAATTGCCTTTATTTAGCCAAAGGAAACAAAAAAGAGAGTATAATATTTTTGTTGGCTCTGATTTCATGGATGAATTATAATAAAAGTGACGTACTATATAATGTGAATGCGACTATTGAAAATTATTAACAACACCATTCTTGGCTGAATAAGGATTCAATGACTATAGAATAGTAATTTTATTATTTTAATTAGTAGTGATAATAATGTATTATACTATTTTTCCTTGAAGAAGCTTGCCCACATAATTCACAACGACCACTTGCAAAGACATGTCCGAGAGAGAGAGAGAGAGAGAGAGAGAGAGAGAGAGAGAGAGAGAGAGAGAGAGAGAGAGAGAGACTTTTCTTATAATTTTCTTCTCACTCGTCGTCCCTATAGACATATTATCATTAAAGTTGCAAAATTCTCTTCTCACTCGTCGTCCCTATAGACATATTATCATTAAAGTTGCAAATTTTTTAATGATAACATTGTTATTTTATGATCTTAGAAATATGATTAAAAAATCACAGTGAATAATAGTAAAATCAGCAATAATATATAAGCATATATTTTTTTTGGGTAAAACATATAAGCATGTTTTATTTTAATTAAATTTTAAAACTGATAAATATATTTTAAAAATTAAATTAATTGATATACGAATATAAAAAATGATTAGATATTTTGAAATTAAAAAAATATTTCTTACAATTAGGAAGAAATAAAAATTGAGTTGGTATTTTTTTTGTAAAATTAAAACAATTGAATCTAAACGTATATAAGACAAAAATCTAAAACGGTAAGATGTTTTCAAATTTGTTTAGAATTTTCCTAATTACATGCAGTTTCTATATCAAATTTAATAAATTTTACATCAAATTTGATCTTTATACATATATATATATATAAATATATATGGACATCTTTATTCCTTTAGTTTGCAAGATGCACGATCCATTTAACCCAAAAAAAAAAAGAAGATGCGCGATCTTCTTCTTTTTTTCACTTGTTAGCTTTTCCTTTCTTTTAAAAATTTGCTTTTAAATTAAAAAAAAAAAAGAAATGGAAAAAAAGTCAACCTCATCTCATCATTTGTGCTTTAGTTCCCAACGTCCGACTTTCAAAATCATTCCACCTTCGCTTTTTTCTAACCCCTTTACCCTATTATTCTCATACAAATTATATCCCACTACCACTCATTCATATTTTATCCTCTTCTATATATACACACACACACACGCGCATACACAAACCCATGTCGTGAAATCACCATTAAAATAACACAAACCATAACGTAGGAAGCATGAAGATGCACCAATTGTCCCGTGGACTCTCCTCGTGGGATAACAATAATCATATCATTATCAATAACAATCGTAGTAGTAGTAATCACCATGGTTGCCAAACATCACTAACCCTAAGCTGCAAGCGTCTGCACTCTCTAGCCGCCGCTTCTCCTCCTCCTTCTTCCCCTTCCTCCGCCACTTCGGCCTCTGCTCTCGACCTCAAGAGCTTCATTAACGAGGCCCGAGAAACCGGTACCAACAATGATCACAGGAGAGATTCACCTCATCAGGTATTGCCTCTCTTTCATGCATAATTAATCTCCTAGTTTATGTTTCTGTTCCGTTTGTATATCTATAAACGTTACTTTGCTCCTTGTAACACATTTGTTTATGTTTAACGAATGTGAAATGTCATATACATACACCCCCACGCATATGTATATAAAGTTAAGGAACAGTATGTATGTATGTATAAATGGTGTAGGTGGAGACGCACCCGGGCGGGACTCGTTGGAACCCGACTCAGGAGCAAATAGGGATACTTGAGATGTTGTATAAAGATGGAATGCGTACACCGACCGCTGAGCAGATCGAACACATCACATCTCAATTGGGGAAATACGGAAAAATAGAGGGCAAGAATGTGTTCTATTGGTTCCAAAACCACAAGGCGCGTGAGAGGCAGAAGCAGAAGAGAAACAACAACAACAACAACCTCAGTCCAAAGCCTGTCTCTAACATGACAACAACTACAGTATTGTCATTAGACAACAGGGTATTCATTGAAATATTTTTGTGCGATTAATTCTCTGTGGATTGACACAAGATCATGATCAGGGTTTGATTTGTTTTGTTCTTTTATGTTTTTTGTTGCAGAGAGAGGTAATGGCGGAGAAGGGCATAGAAGACAGTCCATACAAGAGGGCATGCAGGAGCTGGGGTTTCGAGGACGTGGAACTAGAGTGCAAGACAAATCCTTGTAATAGCAGTAAACATGATAATAACGGCAATAACCACAATAACAATAAACTATTTAACAATAACGTCAAAACCCTAGAGCTTTTCCCTTTGCACCCCGAATTAGGTAAATCATGAATGAGGGGGTTATATATAATTCTTAAATGGATCTGCTGAATTTGCGCAGAATTTAATTACTAACTCATCTATTTCATTTCTTACTCCGGTCTTGTTAGTAATTTGGTCGCTGTAATATTCGGTCTCCAACAAAAAAATAAAAATAAAAAACTATACCCTTATCCAGATTTGAAAGTTAATGTACCATATATTGAATTCTCTTCTGGTGTTCATCTCCACTACCAATATTATTCCCTGACTTCGAATATTAATGTTGCTGTGTATAAATACATATACGTTTTTGCTCTTTCTATGTGATAATTTGTCTCATAAAAAAACTAAAATCGTCTTATAACTTTGTAATTACCTTTTGATATATATATATATATATTATATGTTTGTATGTATGTATGCATGCATGCATCACTTGATAATTTTGTCTTAATTGAGTTATAATTAAATATAGTCTAATTGCCTTTTTTGTATAAGAACTAGTGTTGTGTTTTTCTTTTTGAATCAAAGCAGTTGACAACTAAAATATGTAAAAAAAATCAATCTGAAAATTAGAAAATGAACGCAAAACACAAATAAAATAGAATTCCACTTGTTCAACATGTTTCTCTCTACAACAGTAAATTATTATTACATATATATTAAAAAAAACAAATTCCAATATAGACAGTAATCACTCATGCGAGCACGAAAGCCACCGACAAGGGGGGGCAAGCCGGGCAGGCAGATGCCCCTGCCCAAACAGCCCAAAAAGCTGCCCGTTGAGCTGTATCCCACGATAGCCCTAAACGACACCGTTTTTCTCAGGAGTAGGTACAGTTGTTCACGAGGGACAACTTGACATCGAGTTTCTTGAGTTCATAGTTGATGTCACATTCGATTCTCTTGTAGAACTTAGGCTGAACTAACTTGCCGAGCACGTAAGCCCTCGACCGGACCGTGAAGGTTAGCTTCATTGGGACCGGAGGCGGCACGACCGGGATGACAACGGCCGGAGGAGCTCCCTTCTTCTTTTTCGGGAGGGGAGCCGGTGGCGGCGGGGGGATGAAACTCGAACCGCTCCCGTATAGTGGGATCTTGTCTCCGATTACATTCACCACCACCATTCTCTCGCTTTTCCTCGACTGATAAAATTTCTTGATCTGCCAAAGATATACAAACGAAACCCACCAAAGAAAGATGGCGACCCAGTAAGTATATGGCGTCAATGGATTCAGTAGAGTTGTTATCTATGGTGTTAACATGAAAGAATGATGGCAACCCAGCAAGCATTTGACATCAATGGATTCATTAGAATTGCTATCTATGGCGTTAACATAAAGACGAGAGATTATGATGATGGGGCACTTACAGCTCCGGAGCCAATGGTGATCTGAGAGAAGGCGATGTCAATGGGAGAGGATGTGACGTGGACGCCGAAGAAAGTGCCTGTGTTCCGATACATCATTCTCAGAGTTGCGTTCATGGTGATCATGTCCGTCCCTACTCCCGATGAATCTGACCCTGCTTGGACCTTGAGTTGCTCGAACCTTATGCTCTGTTATTGAACCGCAAGCAAAAATCCGCTAAATCAGTCGAGAAATTTTGAGAATTTGATCATATAAGGAAACAATAAGCACAACCCACTTCTGGATCTGATTCAAAACTGGAAAGTTTCAGTGGAACTTGATGATCGGAGCATGTAAAATTCAGCAGCCTCTGTTCTCGATCTACTACTAATCAGAATGTAAGAAGAAATCAAGAACATTTCAGCTCTTGATCTTCTCTTAAGATGAGAGGTTCGAGGAAATTGAACTGTCAGATTGCAATTTGAGTTCAATCTGGATCTCGATCATATTACACCGCAAAGAAAACGACTCGGAAAACCCAAATCAAGCACAACCTAGTTCTTTGTCTTCTCTAAGAAAATGGGAAATTCAAGAGAAGTAAACTAAAGAAAACATAAACAAAACAAAAAAAAATCTCAGATCTTGAATCATTTCACCAAGACCCTAAAGAAGAAATCAGGAATAGGAGCTGAACTGACTGACCTTCACAGAGATCTTGGGTTTCTGAGGTTTTGCAGCTCCATAGAGAATGAGAGAGAAGAACGTAAACAGAACGAAGAATCCGACAAGGAAGGCCAAGACATAGCATCGACGAGGCAAACCCTTCTCTTGTTCTTCATTGTCAAGCAAACATTCTTCCTCGATCACCTCACAATCCCTCCACTGCTTATCACCGCCGCCGCCATGTCCCTTCCGTTTCCCGCCGTCGTTAGGAGAGATCTTCCTCGACCCAGGCTTCAGAGATCCAGAGAATCTGCTCGAGGAAGATTCTCGAGAGTGTCGGCCCATGGAGGACTGAGAATGCGGCGGAGATCCCATCGGACTCAGCACCGGCGTCGAGTGAAACGACGTCGCCGTCTTCTCTCCATCGTGAGAGTCACGCGATGGCGATTGAACGTAGTACACTGGTCTCCGGCCGGGAGATCTCGTCGGCGACGACGCCGCGAGGCTCGTCACCTCCGAATCTGTCTTCGCATGCATCCTCGGATTCCCAGGAAGAACAAAAACAACAAAAACCCAGAAAGGAATCCGAGAAATGGAAGTGCAAAATAGCAGAGATCGAGCGAAGGAGAAGGAAAAGAGTGAGCCGTGTGATGTTCGGACGCTGAAGATGATGAGCCAATGAGTGGATTTGAAGGGTTTTTGGCTTTGAAAATGTTTTTACCACAGTGAAAAATCATGCACCGACGGTGCGGGTACTGATTAGATAGTCAAAGCATGGTTTAATGACAGTTTAACTTCAACAAGAAATCAATTATTAAAGTTTGGTTGCTTATTATTATGCTATTAATTTTTTTAATCCAATCATCATTACAACTGCGTTTAGAATATCATATGGAAAATTATAGGTTTGGATGTTGATTTTTGGTTAATGGGAAAATAAATTAATTTTTAATTAAGAGGAGGAGAGTAATTTCATGGAAGAAGCAAAGAACAAAAGATAATATATTCTTATGCAAGCAAGCGGCTGCCATTTCCAGTTGGCGACCCTACCCTTTTGTCCCTTTGTCTTCTTGTTTTTTTTTTATTTAGTGATAATTTAATCTATGTAACACAACTTAATTAAATTAAATGAAAAATTACATTGTGGAAGTTTCCTTTTTTAATCCACCTTTTTTTTAAACATTTTTATTGCTCATTCTTATTATATCTTTTTAGGAGGTTTATAAATTGCCAATGATTTATATATATATATATATATGCTACCATGATATATAGAACCAAAACGAAAAAATAGTCTTAATTTAATCAAATTCAAATAAAACCATAGTATTATAGATATATGATGAATCCAAACCAATCTTATTTTGTGGTAGCAATCTCCCAACCTATTTTTAAATTGGATCTAACCAAAAGCAAAATAAATCCAAACCAAATTCCGAATATTCTTAGTTTCATTGTTAGCTATATATATATATATATATATGTTTTTCAAGGTCCTTTTTATTTTTATTTATGAAAACTGTAGGTGAATTTGTAAGATTCACTAGGCACGTTCTTTTTTTTTCCTTACATGAATTTAATATCTACCAAATTTTAAGCACTCCCATCCCATGCTCATGGTTAAATCACTTCTCATAGATGCTTTAATAAAATGGATATGCATTTAATATATTTTTAAAAAAATGTCAACCAAAACTTGTGATTGTTTTTTAGCGCGTCACTACTTTGTGATTAGGGGAATCGTTTTTATTATTCTATTTAATCTATATTTTGATAGAAAACAGATCAAAGTTTCCATGAGTGGACCCACGTATGAAATGAACTCACGTGCTTAGATGCTCCATTTTTTTTAAATCTTAAAAAATTAATTGTAATATTAGTTTGATTTATTTTTGTTAATAATGTGCAAATCATATAATTCTTAATATCGGATTTTTTGGACGTTAAGGTTAAATTTAATTGAAAATTATTATTAAACTCTTTTATAATTCTCAATTTAAATATAAAATAAAAGTTCATTAGAGATAAAACAAATAGGTTTGGACCATATCGGACCAACTCGTTCTGAGCCGGTTCATTTTCAACCTATCTCGTTAAGTACGTTTTTATTTGGTTAAAAAATTCAAGATTCGGATCAGATCGTTCGAATTAGCGAGCCAAAAAATAAAATAAAAAAATATTATAAAAAATAATTAAAGAATAATAATTAATATATTTTAAAAAATAAAACATATTTAAATTTGTTAATTTTTTAAAAATATTTAAAAAAATATTAAAAAATAAAAGTAACATAACATTGTTTGTAACAGAAGCGTTCCATTTTTTGGTCCACCACTGTATATATACATGTGTGTATATATATATATATAAGTGTATTAACCTGTGATATGAACCCCACGTCACGAAAACGAAAAAGGGTTACAAAGACGGGAAAAATTCGATCTTTGGTGCCACCCCTGAATCTAATGATCGTATCTGAAGAAGGGTATTTTTCAGACATCAAAAGACGGCGGCGGAAGTTTCCAGAAGTTCCAAGTGTTGAAGTCTTCCTGTCTCGACACCGAAGATCCATGAATATAATTTTAAATTAACATATGCAGGATAAACGATTGTAATGATTTTTTTTTTTTTTTTTTGATGAATACCGGTTCGGAAGAAGCAGTAGCAGGGAACATGCCATTGACAAGAGCATGAAGAGAAGTGTATGATCTCGTGTCAACTCTGCAATTTACAGCAACTTCTCCCTGCAATTTTCCATGGTTAAGTCACAGTTTTCGATTTTCAACCAAGCTGGAATCTTACTCCCGTACCTTTGGATTGATGATGAAGATCTTTCCCCGAGGGATTCCGACTTTGAGGTAGCTGATCTCATCTGTGTCTCTGTTTCCGAAACCAGCGTAGAACGGGTTGTGGTCGGGAGGGAACAATGCCCGTATTTCCTGTCAAAAGGCGAAAAAAGACGGGTAAAGTTCCGATAATCCGCGGATGTTTAGGACAGCGACGGCGGGTAGAAGCGGATGAAGATAAAAGGACGGACCTCCAAGCACGCGATCTTGAATTCATGAGGCGCCCTTCTGATTACTGTTGAGAGAAAAAGAAAAGAGCGAATGATCCGTGAAAATGTTCGTCCCGGAGATTTATTTAGGTAATCGTGTCGGGTATTACCTTCCCGAAATAAAGACGGAAAGAGGCCGTCGGGAGAGATAACGACAGGTTCATCCGGCAAGGCTTTCCCGTCCTGGAAACACATCAATCAGATTACACAGACGAAGAAAAAACCGAAACAAAAGTACTTTTGGTTTCTCGGTTTTGTCTATTCGGGAAAGCGTCGTGTGAAAAAGTGTACCTGCTTGAGGTTAACTAAGAATTGTCGGGTGACCGAGGCCTGAGAAATCGCCCGTGCGCTAAGAAATATCAAATGATACCCGTTGTCCTGGAGGAGAGAACAGAAAATCTTATCTTTAGCATTCTCTTTTTCGTGGTATCCGACCTGAAAACATAAACGATATCACGAGAAACAAACCTTGATGGCTGAAAACAAATGCGTGACTCCGGTTTGGGACCAATCTATACCGACCAAAGGCATGAACTGGCCAAGAACATCCGACCTATGACGATAAAAGTCACCGAGAAAAGCGAGATCAGAAACGTAAACAAGTTCTTGTTTTCCCGTGATAAGAGAAAGGATGCAAAAGATCCCTTTTACCTCGTGATCGTTCCATCCACATCCGAAACAACAATCCGAGCATTCCATTTCCACAAGTAAATTCGGGCATCCACCTGTTGACTACCACGGGAATTCACGACGGAAAGATATCATCTCGGTTTCCCGTCATAAAAACGTTACGCAGTAGGGAAAAAGGGAAA